AAAGAGTGTTTTAGTTCATTTTTATACCAATAATAAGAAAATCCACACGATGTCTACTAAATTGAACTGTATGAAAAGGAATATAAAGAAACACTTGAGCATTCTTGGAATATGAATAAAGTATTTTTTTATATTTTCTGAGGATGAAACAACAATTAATTCACTAAACTCTAATGCTTGGTTTAAGGAAAATAATGATTAAAAAGGTGAAATTATTAGGTCAATTGATTTTTACGTTGGTTGCAAGATAAAATGCTAGGTAATGTAATTATGAGAAAAAAGTGGAAAAAAAATTTCTTGAACAACAATCTCTTTAAAAAATTTCTCCGGCCTCCCCTTTCAACATCTCTTCTAAATCGCTCTCAAATCCCTGCCGAAGAGTCAACTATTGTCTATTAATAACACGATCAACTTATAAACTATAGACAATTATATATGTAGACGATTGAATCTGGCAAGAAATGTTAAATGGATTTGTAATGATAAGACATCAATTTATTGAACCTCCGATTTCAGCTACTTGTCAAAATTTTATAAACGTATTGATGATTCGCTTCTTCGAAACCATAAAAACCCTAAGGCAGAAAGGAAAAAAAAAACTAATCAAACAAAAATCTGCACTAACAATTACTTTTAAGGAAACTTTTTAAGAATCTGACAAGAAATTTTAATGAATAAACTACTTGTAATGATCCAAAACTCAGTTCATGTTAATGTCTGAATTTAATGAACGCATATGCAGTCATGATTTGATTCTTGAAAAAATTGAAGTTCTTCATGACAAACCCTAGAAACCCTAAAAACACAAAGGAAAGTCAAGAAAGTTATAACTTACATCGAAATCTTGATAATTAATCTGGAAAGTAGGATCAAGATCCCACATGGAAGCGGAAGCAGCGATCGATTTCTGCTTCTCCATCTCGTCCACTCTGCGCAAGACGTTATCCTTCAAAGCTTCCATTGCTTCGGCATATTCCTCAAGTTCGTAAAGTTCCATGCCCTCCATCGGTTCATCCCACCAGAATCTTGAACTAATAATACTACTACTCTCTTGCTTCATTGATCTCTTTACTATCTCGAGTTTCTTTACAGCTTCATCGTACTTACTCCTCCCATCTTCCCTGTAAGGGATAATACTCGAGGCTGCTCCGCCACCTCCGCCGGTCTGGTAGCGGTCGAGCAAAGTTTCGACGGAAGGGTGGCCGTATGAGTAGATCTTATTCGCCGGAGATTGCACGAGGATTGCGATTTCCGCACCGCAGAGAACGCTGAGTTCGCTGGCTTTTCGGAACAGGCCTATTCTCCGCTTCGAGAATGTTACTTGCAGACTGCTTTTCTTTTCTATTTTCTTAATTTCAATCTTTCTTCGCCCCATTGTTTTTTTCTTGCAAATACTTAATTCTTTGTTGTTGTTTTCCATGGCTGATGGGATGAGAAATTCAGACAAGGAAAATAACAATTGTGAAGTTGTTCGATCTTCTCTGATGGTCGTGATTTATAGAAGATTTTCTCTGCCGAATTTAACCGTTGTGATTTTTTTACCATATTTAATGTAATACAAATATATCGCTCTGTTCACACCAGCAGCATCTATATACTTTCCATGTACACCTGTAGTTCGCATTAATTGCTTCTTGATGGTTTTCCTAAACATAATAAAAAAAATAAAATAATAGATTGTGATACACTAGAATCTTGATAAATTAATAACATCGCTTAAATAATATTTTTTTCCGGTCCCGACTCGGAGACAACGTGCTAAATTAATAGTTCTCTAAATTTATAAGATAATACACATTCGACAATTTTAAAAAGCCCCATATAATATATAAATTAATAATGTATAAAAATAATTTTAATTACAGAGTACAATACATATTTTATAGATATATGAAGACTTACTAAAATATGATTTAACTGTCGTTTGTTCATTGTTGAAGTTCACACCACCATCAATCTCGTTTCTCACTTTCTTAATATGGTTAGAACTTCTGGTATAGTCTTTTCATAACTCAACAGAAAATTGTTAAAAATTATTGCAGCTTATAGAGCTTTCGTTCGAGAAACGGACTCTATAGTACGTTTGAACTAATGCTACAATGAATTATATTTACGTAAAAAAAGAAATGTGTACTTGTTAAAAATAATAATAAAAATAATTTCATAAATTAATAAGTTGTTAATAAATGTATAAATTAATAATTATTATATATCGATAAGTTACTATTTCGCTAAATTAATAGAATTTTGATGATCTCAACTATATTAATTTATAGAGGTTTAAGTGTAGTTTGTTGTTTAACTTTGACTAAGAGGGTGTTTGGCTAAGCTTATTTTAAAAAGCTGATAAACTCTTACGTCTGATAAGATGTTTTAAGAGCTGATAAGCTGTTACATCTTATTTTTAAGATTAAATTTTACAGTGTTTGGATAATGGACTTATTTCCTATTTTTACTCATTAAAAGATCTTAAATAAAAAGGTGGGGTAGAGGTACTTATTTAAAAAGATCTTATTTGCTCTCCAACAGCTTATTTTAAAAAAAATTAAGATCTTTTTCTAAAAAATTAGCAAACACTTTGGAAGAGCTTATAAGCTCTAAAACATCTTATAAGCTCCTTTTAACATCTTATAAGCTTAGCCAAACACCCTCTAAGACTAACAATTAACGTTAAGAGAGTTTCCTTATGATATAGTGAGTTTTTAGACTTGTAAGATGGTGTGCATATAATATAAATTGACATTTTCCACACCTTGTGCTATTTAATAAAATAAAATTTCCGATAACTAAAAATAACCCACTATTTAATTTTCATTTTAAATAATCCCACAAAAATATGAATTCTCAAAAATCAAAATAATTCTACCTATTTTTATTTGAGATAAGCCCAACTCACCCCGCCCAACTGGTCCGACCCGACCGGGCCTTTTTTTTTTTAGTTGACATTCTATTTTTTTTTTCTTTTTATTTTTTTTACTGGTGGTGGGTCGTCGGAACTCCGGTTAGCTAACTCAACATTAGTTAACTTCAACAATAATTGACATCTTGTTTTTTGTTTTCCTTTCTTCCGGCGACGGATCGTTGGATCTCCGATTAATTGGTTGACTCAACATTAGTTGACATTCACAATTTTTTTTTTCCTCTTATGGCGGATCATCGGAGCTATGATTAAGACTTCAGCACTAAAATAGCCAGGTGCTAGCTAATGCTTAGTAAGGTAATCAGAGCCCTAAATACCCGCCGCCGAAAAAAAAAACTTAAAAAGAAAAAAAATATAATGTCGGATATTTACTAATGCAAAGTCAGCTAATGCGAACTCAACTAATGCATAGTCAGCTAATTAGAGCTTCAAAGTCCTGTTGATGGAAAAAGAAAGTTAAAAGAGAAAAGTTGGACGTCAACTAATGTAGAAGTCAGCTAATATGTAGTAAACTAATGCATGTTAAATAATTGGAGCTCCGACAACCCGTCGGCAAAAAAAAATTAAATTTAAAGTAAAGATAAATAAAAGAGAAAAAAAATTAATGTCAACTAACGTTGAATCAGCTAAGCAGAACTCCAACGACCCTTCGTCGGAAAAAAAAAATAAAACAAATAAAATAAAATTGAATTTCAACTAATGTTTTTGTTAACTAATGTTGACTAAGATAATCTAGATGATTCATGTATATGGAACATCAATATACACTAGGCCAAAACGCAAGACTGGCGACGAAAATTCGCGACGAATTCGATCTCCTAGCGATGTTTTATCACGGTTAGCGAGGTTTTATTTTTAGTCGCCACGTCAGTCAAAAATCGACGCCAAACGCCCCGTCGCAAAGTCAACGACGAACACACAATTGCGACGCCAAGTTTGGCGACGAAAACACAACTTCGTCGCTAAAACCGTATTTTCTGAAAAAAAATATTTTTTTATTGTTCGCGACGGATAATCCATATTCGTAGCCAGTTGTTGGTACGAAATTGCATATTTCGTCGCAAGTTCACTGAATCTTTTGGTGACTAAATAGTTTTTTCGTCGCCCGACTTTAATTAATTTGGCGACGTTAACGGAATTATATTTCGTCTCAAGTACTCATTTTTGTTTGTGGCGATTTTTTTTCGTCACAAACTTTTTTTTTAATTAATTTATTTATTTTAATTATTTTCTATTACAAAATAAAATCAGCTGTTAAAAAAAACAAAAAAAAAAAAAACCAAAACCATATTTACTCAAAAATATTAAAAACCACGATTACCAATTAAATATCAAAATACAACACAAACATCAATTCAAAAATTACATAAAAACTTGAACCCATAAATGTATTAGTTCAAGAGGCACACTAATTTTATCTCGTTTTTATACTCCACTATTAAAACGCTCGAGCAAGGTGTTCAAAATACCTCGGGTTTCCTGCAATTGCTCTTCTAATCGATCAACTTTTTCATCTTTAACTTTATTTTGTTCTTGCATTGTTTCTCGGGTTTCCTGCAATTGTAGTTCCAATCGATTCACTTGTTCGTCTTTCATTTTTATTTGTTCTTGCATTGCCTTCATTTGAATCTCCATTTGAACCTCCACGTCTGATGGTGTTGAAGAAAATCTCGACTTTCCAATCCTTGTGCTTGAACTTTTAATTCCAAGGCCTTTACTCTTTCCCAAAACCTTTTCAATTGCAGTCGAGTTGGCCGTGCTTTCGTCACTTCCATCAAGCAGTGTTTCCTCATAAACTCGCTCCAAATCAGCCTGAAAATTATTATGTACAAAAGTTTAGCCAAAAATTCGACAGCATAACATCTAAATACGAGCATACCCAAAAACAAATTCTTACCAGTATACAACTTGACATATTAAAAAATAATAGATGGTCACACATCTAAACTTCGTACTTAATTAACATATCAAACAATTAACATGATAAACTAAAATATCCACATAATAAACCACAACAGCATATCCATATTCATAGATAAAAACCACATCCATATCCATATATCCCAACTAAACATATAAAGAATTAACATACTACCGATTGAAGAATATAATTACACTTTACTTACCGAAATGAGAAGTTGTTCAGGAGTTGCTGTCCCGTTATAGATGGTCCAGTTTCCCTCTCAATGCCCATGTATGCTTTCTTATACGTATCAAACATGGTAGGATTTTTGCCAAACTTTTTAAACTAAAAAATAGATTATACAATAACTAGGTATTTTATATAAACTTAAATAAATTAAAATTATAGATTAAGCAACTTATAGGACCAACTATTGATACTTGTTCGACCCCAATGGTGGTTTGTCGACACTTTCTTTCTCGAGTCCTTGCATTTAGTGGACTTGGACTGTGAAAAATATTGCACAAATTAATACACATAAATATATGAAAATATAATTATAAATTAAAAGCATAAAATTTACCTTCCCATCATCCCCGGAGTTGAAATAGAATGAAACTGATCACATAGCCTCTCCCATGTTTGAGCGCTAATCCTATTCGGACGATTTGCCTTAGCAGCTGCAAGGTTAGGCGCTTTATCAAAAACCGCCTTCAATCTTTTATTTTTTGCATCTTTCCAACGACAATTGGCAATCTCGTTGAACCATTTCTTCGTAGCCTCATTTTCAGGAAGTTTCCACGTTCCCTAAAAGGCATACAAAAAAATCCATAATTAATTGATAACAAAATAATTTTAATAACAGAAGTAAATAAAATAATTTGAACTTTCAAATACCTTAAATGCTTTCCACAATCCTTCGACACGACCCTCTTTCTTGTGCTTAGGCCATGAAATAGACGGATCAAAATTGTCCCAATGTGTAACCTCGTTACTAATTGCCACAGCCAACTTGTACCTCCCGGGTGCAACGGGAATACCCATACCGTCAAACTCCAAATCAACTATATCGGGCTTGTAGACTCATCACCTATAGGCTCAACAGAAATATCTTCCGCCGACATTGCTCGCCTGAGAAAGAAAATAAGATACACATATACAGAAATATATATAGAAATAAATTTAAAACAATAATAAATTATGGCAAATAAAATGATAACATTAAAACAAGTAGATTACAATCCAAACAAGCTAATTAACAAGACTTCAAAAAAATATTAGAACAACAAATAGAATTAGTCACTCTTCCATATCATCTATAGCATTTATGTCATTATTTATAGGAAGTATCTCATAACATTCATCTTCAACTACATTGAGATCATCAGGAGTCAAAGCAAAGTTGTCTCTTGGTTTAATAACAATCGGAACCACCCATGGCCTATCACGTGGATCATCAACGTAAAAAGCTTGTAATACTTGACATGGCAGAACAAAAGGACTTGGTTTTATATCTGGCTTTGTTAAGTTCACAAGTGTAAAGCCCAAACCGTCCGTCTTGTTCATGCGAATATTAGCCCAATCCACCTGTCTTCCGCTCTTCGACTTCCGACTGGAACTGCCAAAATCCTCTCTCGATCAACCTGCCAGAACACTTCATCAATGAGCTCAACTTTCCATGATCGGGTATGTTTGTCAACGAGGTCCGACACCCTATCAGGAAAGTTAGTCATCACCGATCGTTTAGTCAGTACTTTAAAATTCCCGTCTTCACAAATCCAAGGATCGAACCAAATAGACGTGTCCGTACCATCTCCAATGCGTGGGCGGAGTCCCTGCATAAGATACAGACGAGCTTTGAGCATGCTTCACCATGAAGCCGATGGGCGCGTGCCAGTTGCCGCTCGTAGGACATCACAATTAGGGAAGGACCTAGCCTTGAGGATTTTGGAAAGGAGAAGGTGTGGCTCTGTCAAGACTCTCCACACTTGTTTGGCAAGTAATGCATGATTGAAGCTTCTTAAGTCCCGAAATCCCATTCCTCCTTGCGATTTAGGTAAATATAACCTTTTCCACGACATCCAAGCCATTTTTTTGTTTGCATCACCCCCACCAAAAACTTCGACTAGCTGACTCTAGTTCCCTAATGAGACCCATTGGCAGAGCAAAACAACTCATCATGTATGAGGGAATGGCTTGAAGTATCGCTTTGATCAACACTTCTTTGCCTACTTGATATAATTTCTTTTCCCCCCAACCGTTGATCTTAGTCCATAGACGGTCTCGGAGGTATTGAAATATGTCCTTCCGTGACTTCCCCAAAGAAGTCGGCATGCCCAGATATTTCTCATGTCGATCCACCACCGGAAACCCCAATAGATTGTGTATAGACTATTTTGTAACCAAATGTGTGTTCGGGCTGAAACACATAGTAGTCTTCTCGTAGTTGATCTCTTGGCCGGATATTCTTTCATATTTATCCAAAATTCTTTTTAGCGTGGTTGAATCACCTTCACTAGCCTGGCAAAAAATGAGGGTGTCATCGGCGAAACAAAAATTTGAAATAGGGAGTGCCGTCGGAGCAATTTTAACACCCTGTGATTCTCATCTTTCCACCGCTCATTGGATCAGGACATTCAAGACCTCTGCACAACAAATAAATAAATATGGATAAAGAGGACCGCCTTGTCGAAGACCCCTAGAAAGAGACAAAGAGCCAAACTGCGAACCATTAAACAAAAAAAAAAATAAGAGACAGAACGAAATACAAAGCAAAATAAGATCAATAAATCAGGTAAGAAACCAAGACGGGTAAGAACTTTTCTCTAAAAAATTCATTCAATCCGATCGTATTCTTTGCTAATATCAAGTTTAACCACCATAAAGTTCAGCCGACTACTAGTATTCGTTTTAATAAAATGATTCACTTCGTATGCAACTAGAACGTTGTAAGTAATAAGGCGTTTAGGAACAAAGGCTGACTATGTAGGAGAAATAATATCATTTAGAATACGCTTAAGCCTGTTTGCAATAACTTTGGAACCAATTTTATAAATAACATTACAAAGGCTAATGGGTCTATAATCTGTGATTTTTTCTGGGTTATTAAATTTTGGGAATTAAGACTATAAAAGTGAAGTGAAGAGCTAGGGGCAATATTTTTTTTATTTAAGAAGTCTAGCAGACAAGATGTGACACTAGATCCTAGGATGAGCTAGTATTTGGTGAAAAATAGAATGGGAAGGCCGCCCGGGCCAGAAGATTTAAGAGGGGCCATGCCACTAGTGGCTTGATTTACCTCGGCCGCTAGAAAAAGGGGTATAAAGTATTTGGGCCGCCTCGCTTGTCGCCCTCGGTTCCAACTGTTCCAACACCTTATCTATTTCATTCTCCCTCGGATTAGTGGATCGGAAAATATGCTCAAAATAGTCGGCAATAATCCTCTCGATCTCCTCTTCTCGATTATATCAGGTACTAAAATTATCCCTCATTTATTTAATATTATTTTTATGAGATTATTTAATAACTTAGTAAAACATTTGGTTCTACCTTATTAATGTAAATCCTTGGAAATTTTTTCCACTTATTTGATAGTTATAATTGTTATTTATTTAAACTTTTTTTTTTTTACTTTCATTTAATATAATCAAGTTTAATAAATCCTTATATATCTTATTAATAAAAGTAAGGTTGGTCCTGGTAAACTTTAGGAAATGTTTGCCGCTCATTTGATAGTTATAATTGTCATTTGTTTATTTAATTACTTCTTTTTATTTTATTTTATTTAATATAATCAAGTTTAATAAATACGTTAATGAAGTATCCAGATTTTTTGGTCCCAAAATCTACGTATCTTTTTCGAAGAATAATATCATTTTACTTTTATGCGAATATTATTTAATATTTTAGAAGAATATTTAGTTCACATATATACTTTAAAATAGCTTAATTTTTTAAAATTTTGGCTAATACATATGACTATTATATATCCTTCGTAAATTAACAAATTTTCAATTTAAATCATCCATGTTTTTTTACAATTTTGGACGATTGGATGATTTCATTGTCCTTAATATCAACCATAAATCATGGTAACAAATTAATATTTTATATCTATCTTATATATAAAAATAATTTTGTGTCTTTTAGGGTTTAAAATATCATAATACCCATTAGAGATAATTCTCATTAGACAATTACGTCGTAATGCTAAACTATTCATTGTATTAATTATAAATATCCAAGTAATTATGAAATATTTAGATAGAGATTGATGCAATCAATTTAATTAGATAATATATTTACAAATAACAAAGTAAAAAATAATATTTGTTGTAAATAATATGGTAAAATGGGTCTTCTTATCCTAACACATGAGAGGTTGTAACCTCCATATTCCACTATAGATTCTCAATTTCCCACTACCGCCATTATCCCCACACATTGTAGTGGTTGCAACTCCTATGTAACTCCTTTATAACTTCTCGTGGATTACACCTATATAAATGAGAATCTCCCCTCCCCTAAACACACAATTTTCTCACTACGGATTGTTGTTCGTTGCATTCTCTTTTCGTCTCTTTGTGTTGTTATTTACATTCTTATGTATTTCCACAAGCACAAACCAAAGAGATAGATAAATAGGCCATTTTACAACACGTTGTCAGCACGAAGTGCTCGCCGTTATCGTGGAAAAACAATCGTTAGGATACTCGAAGAATTCGAGGTGCTCGTAGAAAGGTAATTGTTCGTCGAACAAGATTATTTGGAGAACATGTGATCCAAGTTTATATGTGAAACGGTAATCTCGAAAGAATATATTAATATCCTTCGGAATGTTTGGATTTAAGCGTTTTAAATAAACTTTAATCTTCTTGCAATTTTAATTTCGTAAGAGATGCATGATAGATCTATTTAATGGCATGAAATATAGAATAAACTTTATGTTCAAGTCATTACTTCATTTATACCGTGGATAATTTGAATATATGATCTAGTTGGTGATCTTTATTCTATAATGTGATTAAAATGTCTTCTTATTTCATATAATAATTGTTCTGAGCATGTGAAATGCTATCTTATTATTCAACAAAAGTATTGCATGTTCAAGTATGAATATTGTCATAAATTTTGTCGTCTCAATCATGCTATATGATTCTATGTATTTTGCTATATATGATGATATAAATGTTTGAGATTTAAAGTGATGAAATCTCGTGATATATTCTTTTGTCTCGTGCTCTTTATGTATTATCACTTATGCCCGATCCGATTGTATGAATTTTACATTATGGATATGTTTAGGTAATTGGTAATTAACTATCTCAATCATTTTAAATTAGTTCGTGGAATTTGTATGAGATGTATATACATGCTAATTATGATTTATATCATGGCAAGTTATACGGTTTTGGTTTCCTTTTATACCAATATTAGAGCATGCTATATGTCTTTGATGTTTGGCAAATTTTTATTGTCTTAATTGCATGAAGAATTTGGTCCATCTCTAATGGAGAATTCCATTCAATTGATTCATTATTTATCTGCCATATGTATTTTTGTGATACAAAAATGGCAAGCAATATTTCGTTCGTCGTTATAGTTTATCTTATGAAATCCATGAATGTGTATGAACATGTAGTATATGAATTATTAGACCGATGTTCTAATAAGTTAATATTCATGAAATTGTTTAGGGAGGTTACGTTCCCATAAAAAAATAATATTCCTTATTCTATTTGATTTGAGATAAAACACACGAGCAAACTCAAGTTTACCCAACTTAATGTATTTGGTGAAAGTTTTGTTGGTTGGAGAATGGATGTTAAGATCCATACGCTTAGTGAGCAATTGAGAATGATTGTTTTCAAGGATAATATATTAGGTAAAGCCCAGAAGGCTGAGACTATGTTTCTGATTACGAGATAATTAGATGAAGTCCTTCGTTTGGGCTATTCATCAAACGAGGGTCCCCATAAAGAATGGGATACCCTGGCTAGTCGTTTCGATTACCAAAAGACAATACACTTGCCTGAAGCAAGGAACAAATGAATTCATGAACGATTTGTATATGAATTTTAAAATCCGAATAGAGCTCAACATAGATATATGTTTTCTATATGGTGGATCTAAGCATTGGTCGCACACCTGAAGTGTGAGGAACGTTGGGGCTGAAGATGCAAATAATAATGCATCAGCAGAGACTAAGTTGGTAAAGGTAAATGTTTTCAATGTATAGCTCGTCACTCTGCTTCCATACTTGGGCACATCTGACCAAATAACCCATGTTGGGAAATGAATGAACTGTTGATTTCATGCATTATGTTTATTTTATTACTCGTGCTTATTAGTTTATTGAATTACAATCATCTTATTTTATTTGCTCATGTTATGAACCATATTCGTATTTTCATTATGTTTAGATTATGCTCTGGATCATATATTTATGTCACTATATGTTCTAAGTTAATTATTATGTTATTCAGTGGTGTTTGCTTGATGAATTTACTTAGTACCTGAAGTACATAATATATATGATTAGATTTATATAACTCTGTAGACAGACATGTGGGAATAAATGTCTGGCAGATAGTGCGACAACACATACTATCCTGAGAGATAAGTCGTACTTTATTATTTTCATGTCTATTTGTAGCAAGAACTCTTTGATAACTAAATGAGGCACATGTAGTTTTGATAGATGGTTATGGTTATGTCCACATTATATTATCTAATGGCACAATATTGCCCATTGAAGTAGCTCAATTTTTCTCCACGTTCCAGTAGAACATTATTAAACTTTAAAAATATTTGAGCTAATGGTTATTTTGTTGAAACCATTGGAGACAAGAAATCGAGTATATGTGCATCATCTCTAACGTGTACGGCCAGAAGCGTATATAGGGAAAATTAGAGGAATTTTCGACACAGTTATGTAGAAGCACAATTTGAATGCCAGAAGCATAAGTTGTCGATTGCTCGAAATCAAGTAATTTGATTATATGTCAGCATACGCACATACCTGTAATGATTCAATTTATTTCTTGGAAGTAGTCCAAGAAGATATATGTGAAATATGTATCAACATCTATAACTTAAATTTAGAACCTTAGACAGACGATCTCTTACCCGCTCAAATGCGGACTGTCACTTTGATGAGACTGTCTTCCCGCCGTTAAAGGGGAGGAAAGAACATCCACGCTAACGTTATGGAGAACGGCGTGAAGTCGTGTGAGACGACCCCAGCGTGTCTCATCAAGATCCCCTACATAAGAGAATTGATACATAGATTAATAGATCATCCATACTAACGTTCTTGAAGAACGACGCGAAGTCGTGTCGGATGACAATATAGATTTGCAAGAAATGTCTATAGTAACATTCCCGAAGAACGGCGTCAAGTCGTATGGGACGACTTAGAAATCTGCAAAGAATGTCCATACTAATGTTCGTAAAGAACAATATGAAGTCGTGTAGAACGAATAATGCCTGACTCATTCTCTATTTTGAAAAGGCGACAAGATATCGAAGTGGATAAATGCCCAATAATTGTATCTGGTTAACACTAGTACAAATGGGATCTCACCTTATCCATCTCATAAAATAATTCTAAACTATGGATTCGTCCTGCAGACGAAGTTGAGGGACGCCTCGACATTAATATCCATTCCTGAGAATAGAAACATCTCGATTAGTTATTCATGCATGAATGAGATGTGGTATCAGACTGAAATGATCATCGATGACATATTTACTTACACAATAGCTACTGAACTTATATCGAGTGAAGAGATAAAACGCCGGTCAATTGATAAGTATAAACAATGGGATGATGGGCCTAAATAAGAAAAAACAACTCGAGCTGAATTTGATTTCTTGATAAAACGAAAAGTGTAGAGACCAGTAATTCCTACAACTCCTTGAATTTCACCCATAGGATATAAGTGAGTACTCACAAAGTAAAATGGATGAGATTGGGAACTAGAAGATTCATCTCATAGCTCAAGGAATGGAATGAGATTGGGAACCAGAAAATTCATCTCATAGCTCAAACGAGATTGGGAGCCCGGAGACTCATATCATAGCTCAATGAACGAAATGAGATTGGGAACCAGAAGATTCATCTCATAGTTCACGAGATTGGGAGCCATGAGACTCATCTCATAGCTCAATCAATGAAATGAGATTGGGAACCAGAAGATTTATCTCATAGCTCAAATGAGATTGGGAACCAGAAGATTCATCTCATAGCTTAAACAAGATTAGGAGCCAGAAGACTCATCTCATAGCTCGAACGAGATTTGGAGCTAGAAGACTCATCTCATAGTACAATGATTTATGGGCAAAAGAGATTGGGAGCTCGAAGACTCATCTCATAGTTTAAGGATTTCCTCAGCAACCTGAGATTGATTTTAAAGAGTTATACTCTTTCATGGTGAATGCTATTAAATTCGTGGCCAGAAAGTATCTTACGGGGATCTAGATACAAATATTTATATGAAAGTCCTTAAAAGACTATGTTTCTTTGAAACAATTAGTTCCAGACCACGGAACATAAACTCAGTTGGGCTGAGACGTTCACTTAAATCGAGGCTTCAAATATTTCGGAAGAATATGATAATATTATAAGTGAGTAAATGCTCCAGAAGAGAATATGTGAACACTAATTTGTTTTTATTGTTCCCATTACTACAATTTATGTTAAGGACATGAACTTGATTTGGACTCCTGAAGAAATCGAGTAAGAGAAACTCAATTGTTGAAAATTTGAGTTCAAGATCAAAGATCTAAATGAGACTAATTTGTTGTCTCAACGAGCTTAAAATTTATCATGTCAATTATATTTTTGTCCATCAATCGAATTATATGGAGAAGATATTATGGATAGAGAGAAATGTTCGAGTAACACCTATGGGAGTTTGACAGTGGAATACGTCCAATGATTCATTCCGTCCCATGGAGAAGGCCAAGGAAGTGTTAGCACCAGAAATGCCATATGTAATGCAAATATGCATTATTATGCTTGAATCCATGTCCTCGATATGATTTAGCGTTTTCGGTAAATTTATTAGATATAATTATCTCAACTTACCGTCACGCCCTACGCATCAATGAATGAGGCGAAACTTGTGGTTTATATTGGCATTAACTGGAAGTCATATCCATAGAAAGCTCGTTCACAATCAATGGTTTAATATTGGGAAAATAGCTATGTCTTGGGGTTCTATGAAATGTACCTTAGTTGTCACTAGATCAAATCATGCATGTTGTTTGCTTCACGAGATAGAGAGTGAATGCACATGGCCTGGAGCCATGATTAGGCATGTTCAAGATTCCTGGGAATTGACTAACACAGAAGATCCTATGGGATTGTATTTGACTGTAATACAGTATGCATTGAGCAAATGAAGATGAGCTTCATTAAAGTGACAAATCCATGTACATATCTTTGAAGTTTTTTTCAATCAGCAACAACAATAGCCTAAACAAATAATGATCCCGCATATCGAAATTTGAGATAACTGCTCCAACTTTAAGAATAAGTTTTGCCTAAAGTCAACTTTTGAAAACATGTTAAGGCTATTGACTTGAGTAGATTATCCGAACTCACTCCCTTGTACATATCGGGGGGTTAACTTGAGGGGGAGTACCGTGTAGGTACTCAATATCCAGAAGATACTCGGGTGCCATGTTGTACTCTTTTTCCTTTGTGCGAGGTTTATTTTTCCTATGGGGTTTTCGTTACTCGCCAAGGTTTTAACGAGGCAATTCATGATGATTGGAAAGATTGTACGTTGTACTATTTTTCCTAATCGAGGTTTTTTTTTTCCCACTGGGTTTTTATTACTCGGAATGTTTTAACGAGGCAACATGAAAAGCACAATAGTTTTTTGATAGGAATCCCCAAGGGGGAGTGTTGTAAATAATATGGAAAAATGGGTCTTCCTATCCTAACAATGAGAGGTTGTAACCTCCATATTCCACTATAAATTCTCAACTTCCCACTACCCCCATTATCCCCACACATTGTAGTGGTTGTAACTCCTTTGTAACTTCCGGTGGATTACACCTATATAAATGAGAATCTCCCCTCCCCTAAACACACAATTTTCTCTCTACGGATTGTTGTTCTTTGCATTCTCTCTTTCTCTCTTTGTGTTGTTATTTACATTTTTATGTATTTCCACAAAAACAAACTAAAGAGCTAGATAAATAGGCCATTTTACCACAACATTTATAATATTTTGATACAATTTGGGTTTGGGGAGTATTTTGTTGTTATATTTTCTCGTTGTGGGAGAGTTTTGGTTTATTTGCAATTAGGGGTAAGTTAGTCATTTCCGGCAAGGCCACAATCCATTTCGTGTTAAGGGGCAGTGTGCTTTGTCAAAAATAATATAAGGGGTATGTGTCAATTTTGTTAAACACTAGGATTTCTTTAGCCATTCGAGATTACACAAAGGATTCTGTGTAATTAACTCAAATAACTACTCACTAATCATAGTGTGTTACTATGTGTAAATCAATAGTTCAAGATCATCCAATGTATTTCATCATGTGTAGCATCTATAAAACGGCTTTTGTATATTTAATCATTTATTTAATTTACATTAGAAAGTCAATTGAAAAATAGATTTTATTTCGATTTTTACAAACACTGCGGTGGTTTCATGCAATTGAGTCAATGAACAAATAAAGTGTGAATTATTTATTCATTTAGGTGCTAAAAGATATAGGATTTGAAACTTTTCCCGGTATCTTATAATATGTAGTTATTTAGAATATATGATATAGTAAATAACAGTGTTCTAAAACTCGGTCGAGACGGCCAATTAATCGGTCGATCTCCGAGGCGGAAGTAGAGGCGGTTTAATACCTTTATGATTTCTTTGTAAAGGTTTGAAAATTCGGTTTTTGCCTATGAGGCAGTTTAAGGTGGTCAAAAGTCGGTCAAAAATGATTTTATGCATTGTTTTAATTTTTTATGTTAATTTTTATTTTTAAAGGACCTAATGATATATGCTTGCAATGTTCAAACATAATTTTGGACGCACAGGATTTTCATTATATTTTTATTTGTAAGAATTTTTATTATATTATGAGTTTATTATTATTAAAATTTTATTGTGTAATTATGATATATAATTGATGGAATAAAATTATGTTTAAATATCTTTTTATATATGTTTTGAGTATTTATAATTATATTACATTAAATTTACAAAACTGATTTATTTCCGATTTATCGCCGATTAATCACCGCTGCAACGATTAATCGTGAGGGGCCTTCTAAAAAAAAGTGATGATGTTTTCTAAAGAGTGTTTTAGTTCATTTTTATACCAATAATAAGAAAATCCACCGATGTCTACTAAATTGAACTGTATGAAAAGGAATATAAAGAAACACTTGAGCATTCTTGGAATATGAATAAAGTATTTTTTTATATTTTCTGAGGATGAAACAACAATTAATTCACTAAACTCTAATGCTTGGTTTAAGGAAAATAATGATTAAAAAGGTGAAATTATTAGGTCAATTGATTTTTACGTTGGTTGCAAGATAAAATGCTAGGTAATGTAATTATGAGAAAAAAGTGGAAAAAAAATTTCTTGAACAACAATCTCTTTAAAAAATTTCTCCGGCCTCCCCTTTCAACATCTCTTCTAAATCGCTCTCAAATCCCTGCCGAAGAGTCAACTATTGTCTATTAATAACACGATCAACTTATAAACTATAGACAATTATATATGTAGACGATTGAATCTGGCAAGAAATGTTAAATGGATTTGTAATGATAAGACATCAATTTATTGAACCTCCGATTTCAGCTACTTGTCAAAATTTTATAAACGTATTGATGATTCGCTTCTTCGAAACCATAAAAACCCTAAGGCAGAAAGGAAAAAAAAAACTAATCAAACAAAAATCTGCACTAACAATTACTTTTAAGGAAACTTTTTAAGAATCTGACAAGAAATTTTAATGAATAAACTACTTGTAATGATCCAAAACTCAGTTCATGTTAATGTCTGAATTTAATGAAACATATGCAGTCATGATTTGATTCTTGAAAAAATTGAAGTTCTTCATGACAAACCCTAGAAACCCTAAAAACATAAAGGAAAGTCAAGAAAGTTATAACTTACATCGAAATCTTGATAATTAATCTGGAAAGTAGGATCAAGATCCCACATGGAAGCGGAAGCAGCGATCGATTTCTGCTTCTCCATCTCGTCCACTCTGCGCAAGACGTTATCCTTCAAAGCTTCCATTGCTTCGGCATATTCCTCAAGTTCGTAAAGTTCCATGCCCTCCATCGGTTCATCCCACCAGAATCTTGTATTACTACTACTGTTACTCTCTTGCTTCATTGATCTCTTTACTATCTCGAGTTTCTTTACAGCTTCATCGTACTTACTCCTCCCATCTTCCCTGTAAGGGATAATACTCGAGGCTGCTCCGCCACCTCCGCCGGTCTGGTAGCGGTGGAACAAAGTTTCGACAGAAGGGTGGCCGTACGAGTAGATCTTATTCGCCGGAGACTGCACGAGAATTGCGATTTCCGCACCACAGAGAACGCTGAGTTCGCTGGCTTTTCGAAACAGGCCCGTTCTCCGCTTCGAGAATGTTACTTGCAGACTGCTTTTCTTTTCGATTTTTTTTATTTCGATCTTCCTTCGCCCCATTGTTTTTTTCTTGCAAATACTTAATTCTTTGTTGTTGATGTTTTCCATGGCTGATGGATGAGAATTTTTCAGACAAGGAAAATAACAAATTGTGAAGTTGTTCGATCTTCAGATGGTCATGATAATATATAGAAGATTTTCTCTGCCGAATTTAACCGTTGTGATTTTTTTACCATATATAATGTAATACAAATATATCGCTGTGTTCACACTAGCAGCATCTATATACTTTCCATGTACACCTGTAGTTCGCATTAATTGCTTCTTGATGGTTTTCCTAAACATAATAAAAAAAATAAAATAATAGATTGTGATACACTAGAATCTTGATAAATTAATAACATCGCTTAAATAATATTTTTTTCCGGTCCCGACTCGGAGACAACGTGCTAAATTAATAGTTCTCTAAATTTATAAGATAATACACATTCGACAATTTTAAAAAGCCCCATATAATATATAAATTAATAATGTATAAAAATAATTTTAATTACAGAGTACAATACATATTTTATAGATATATGAAGACTTACTAAAATATGATTTAACTGTCGTTTGTTCATTGTTGAAGTTCACACCACCATCAATCTCGTTTCTCACTTTCTTAATATGGTTAGAACTTCTGGTATAGTCTTTTCATAACTCAACAGAAAATTGTTAAAAATTATTGCAGCTTATAGAGCTTTCGTTCGAGAAACGGACTCTATAGTACGTTTGAACTAATGCTACAATGAATTATATTTACGTAAAAAAAGAAATGTGTACTTGTTAAAAATAATAATAAAAATAATTTCATAAATTAATAAGTTGTTAATAAATGTATAAATTAATAATTATTATATATCGATAAGTTACTATTTCGCTAAATTAATAGAATTTTGATGATCTCAACTATATTAATTTATAGAGGTTTAAGTGTAGTTTGTTGTTTAACTTTGACTAAGAGGGTGTTTGGCTAAGCTTATTTTAAAAAGCTGATAAGCTCTTACGTCTGATAAGATGTTTTAAGAGCTGATAAGCTGTTACATCTTATTTTTAAGATTAAATTTTACAGTGTTTGGATAATGGACTTATTTCCTATTTTTACTCATTAAAAGATCTTAAATAAAAAGGTGGGGTAGAGGTACTTATTTAAAAAGATCTTATTTGCTCTCCAACAGCTTATTTTAAAAAAAATTAAGATCTTTTTCTAAAAAATTAGCAAACACTTTGGAAGAGCTTATAAGCTCTAAAACATCTTATAAGCTCCTTTTAACATCTTATAAGCTTAGCCAAACACCCTCTAAGACTAACAATTAACGTTAAGAGAGTTTCCTTATGATATAGTGAGTTTTTAGACTTGTAAGATGGTGTGCATATAATATAAATTGACATTTTCCACACCTTGTGCTATTTAATAAAATAAAATTTCCGATAACTAAAAATAACCCACTATTTAATTTTCATTTTAAATAATCCCACAAAAATATGAATTCTCAAAAATCAAAATAATTCTACCTATTTTTATTTGAGATAAGCCCAACTCACCCCGCCCAACTGGTCCGACCCGACCGGGCCTTTTTTTTTTTAGTTGACATTCTATTTTTTTTTTCTTTTTATTTTTTTTACTGGTGGTGGGTCGTCGGAACTCCGGTTAGCTAACTCAACATTAGTTAACTTCAACAATAATTGACATCTTGTTTTTTGTTTTCCTTTCTTCCGGCGACGGATCGTTGGATCTCCGATTAATTGGTTGACTCAACATTAGTTGACATTCACAATTTTTTTTTTCCTCTTATGGCGGATCATCGGAGCTATGATTAAGACTTCAGCACTAAAATAGCCAGGTGCTAGCTAATGCTTAGTAAGGTAATCAGAGCCCTAAATACCCGCCGCCGAAAAAAAAAACTTAAAAAGAAAAAAAATATAATGTCGGATATTTACTAATGCAAAGTCAGCTAATGCGAACTCAACTAATGCATAGTCAGCTAATTAGAGCTTCAAAGTCCTGTTGATGGAAAAAGAAAGTTAAAAGAGAAAAGTTGGACGTCAACTAATGTAGAAGTCAGCTAATATGTAGTAAACTAATGCATGTTAAATAATTGGAGCTCCGACAACCCGTCGGCAAAAAAAAATTAAATTTAAAGTAAAGATAAATAAAAGAGAAAAAAAATTAATGTCAACTAACGTTGAATCAGCTAAGCAGAACTCCAACGACCCTTCGTCGGAAAAAAAAAATAAAACAAATAAAATAAAATTGAATTTCAACTAATGTTTTTGTTAACTAATGTTGACTAAGATAATCTAGATGATTCATGTATATGGAACATCAATATACACTAGGCCAAAACGCAAGACTGGCGACGAAAATTCGCGACGAATTCGATCTCCTAGCGATGTTTTATCACGGTTAGCGAGGTTTTATTTTTAGTCGCCACGTCAGTCAAAAATCGACGCCAAACGCCCCGTCGCAAAGTCAACGACGAACACACAATTGCGACGCCAAGTTTGGCGACGAAAACACAACTTCGTCGCTAAAACCGTATTTTCTGAAAAAAAATATTTTTTTATTGTTCGCGACGGATAATCCATATTCGTAGCCAGTTGTTGGTACGAAATTGCATATTTCGTCGCAAGTTCACTGAATCTTTTGGTGACTAAATAGTTTTTTCGTCGCCCGACTTTAATTAATTTGGCGACGTTAACGGAATTATATTTCGTCTCAAGTACTCATTTTTGTTTGTGGCGATTTTTTTTTCGTCACAAACTTTTTTTTTAATTAATTTATTTATTTTAATTATTTTCTATTACAAAATAAAATCAGCTGTTAAAAAAAACAAAAAAAAAAAAAAAACCAAAACCATATTTACTCAAAAATATTAAAAACCACGATTACCAATTAAATATCAAAATACAACACAAACATCAATTCAAAAATTACATAAAAACTTGAACCCATAAATGTATTAGTTCAAGAGGCACACTAATTTTATCTCGTTTTTATACTCCACTATTAAAACGCTCGAGCAAGGTGTTCAAAATACCTCGGGTTTCCTGCAATTGCTCTTCTAATCGATCAACTTTTTCATCTTTAACTTTATTTTGTTCTTGCATTGTTTCTCGGGTTTCCTGCAATTGTAGTTCCAATCGATTCACTTGTTCGTCTTTCATTTTTATTTGTTCTTGCATTGCCTTCATTTGAATCTCCATTTGAACCTCCACGTCTGATGGTGTTGAAGAAAATCTCGACTTTCCAATCCTTGTGCTTGAACTTTTAATTCCAAGGCCTTTACTCTTTCCCAAAACCTTTTCAATTGCAGTCGAGTTGGCCGTGCTTTCGTCACTTCCATCAAGCAGTGTTTCCTCATAAACTCGCTCCAAATCAGCCTGAAAATTATTATGTACAAAAGTTTAGCCAAAAATTCGACAGCATAACATCTAAATACGAGCATACCCAAAAACAAATTCTTACCAGTATACAACTTGACATATTAAAAAATAATAGATGGTCACACATCTAAACTTCGTACTTAATTAACATATCAAACAATTAACATGATAAACTAAAATATCCACATAATAAACCACAACAACATATCCATATTCATAGATAAAAACCACATCCATATCCATATATCCCAACTAAACATATAAAGAATTAACATACTACCGATTGAAGAATATAATTACACTTTACTTACCGAAATGAGAAGTTGTTCAGGAGTTGCTGTCCCGTTATAGATGGTCCAGTTTCCCTCTCAATGCCCATGTATGCTTTCTTATACGTATCAAACATGGTAGGATTTTTGCCAAACTTTTTAAACTAAAAAATAGATTATACAATAACTAGGTATTTTATATAAACTTAAATAAATTAAAATTATAGATTAAGCAACTTATAGGACCAACTATTGATACTTGTTCGACCCCAATGGTGGTTTGTCGACACTTTCTTTCTCGAGTCCTTGCATTTAGTGGACTTGGACTGTGAAAAATATTGCACAAATTAATACACATAAATATATGAAAATATAATTATAAATTAAAAGCATAAAATTTACCTTCCCATCATCCCCGGAGTAGAAATAGAATGAAACTGATCACATAGCCTCTCCCATGTTTGAGCGCTAATCCTATTCGGACGATTTGCCTTAGCAGCTGCAAGGTTAGGCGCTTTATCAAAAACCGCCTTCAATCTTTTATTTTTTGCATCTTTCCAACGACAATTGGCAATCTCGTTGAACCATTTCTTCGTAGCCTCATTTTCAGGAAGTTTCCACGTTCCCTAAAAGGCATAAAAAAGAATCCATAATTAATTGATAACAAAATAATTTTAATAACAGAAATAAATAAAATAATTTGAACTTTCAAATACCTTAAATGCTTTCCACAATCCTTCGACACGACCCTCTTTCTTGTGCTTAGGCCATGAAATAGACGGATCAAAATTGTCCCAATGTGTAACCTCGTTACTAATTGCCACAGCCAACTTGTACCTCCCGGGTGCAACGGGAATACCCATACCGTCAAACTCCAAATCAACTATATCGGGCTTGTAGACTCATCACCTATAGGCTCAACAGAAATATCTTCCGCCGACATTGCTCGCCTGAGAAAGAAAATAAGATACACATATACAGAAATATATATAGAAATAAATTTAAAACAATAATAAATTATGGCAAATAAAATGATAACATTAAAACAAGTAGATTACAATCCAAACAAGCTAATTAACAAGACTTCAAAAAAATATTAGAACAACAAATAGAATTAGTCACTCTTCCATATCATCTATAGCATTTATGTCATTATTTATAGGAAGTATCTCATAACATTCATCTTCAACTACATTGAGATCATCAGGAGTCAAAGCAAAGTTGTCTCTTGGTTTAATAAAGACCGCACCCCCCCATGGCCTATCACGT